AGATATCATTGCCGATGAGCTAGGCGATAGTATTGAAGACTGAGAACAATGAAAATTCATTGAACATCATAAAGATAGTTAACTTGTGCAATGTGATAATCTCAATCTCAGTACGTTCTTAAATAGGAAAGAACTAAACTATAAGAAGACTAGCGTGGTTAGAACCATGGTTCTATGGATGGTTATGGTTTTACGCTATAACCATAACCATGGTTATGGATATGGCCATAACCATCCATCCATCCATCCATGCGAGCTCTGGACGGTACTTCGAGGTGGGTGGAGTTGCTTGGAGCCGGTGGTTCGAGGTGGGTGGAGTTGCTTGGAGGTGGCGCTTCGAGATGGATTGGGCTGTTTGCCCCAGTGTTGCCCCGGAATTGACATCTTCCAACACCTGGGAGAGCAGCCACAAAGGTGTTCCGAGTAACAGTCACGTGATATCAGGTCACCCTTTGCATCAAAGCAGAAGGCTAAACCACACATGCGGAACATCTCACACTGCAAGCAAGATCATGTTAGAAGATTTCGGGTATATATGTACGTGCTGCATGCGAGAATCAGTCAGCCTGTCCCAACAGGCAATCAAGTTCCGCGGACCTACTCCGAGTCGCCGCAAATAATGCTCTGGCAGGTAGTCACCCTTCGAAGCCATGATACTTAGGGGCTTCAGAGATCTCCACATGCTTTCTTTCTTTCGACTGAACATTGTTGCTATGCATACCCGCTCTTGACGAGAAAGGCCACAGGAACAACTCCGAAGAGAATGCAAGCGGAGGAAGATGCTAACGTCCTCTATAGACCAGCCTTGCAACTTGTTGCCCGTTCAATGAAGTCTCTTCCCTTCGAATACTTCGACATGAGCCTGGTAGTCCGTAGTTTCGTCAAAAACTCATCAATGGCGTCGGATCACGCCATGGCAGTCAAGATAGCTTGAAGCCTTCAAGCTATCCATACCTGCCTATAACGATATCGCGCGATATTGATATCGCTATAGCGATTATCGCGCGAAGAATTTTCAAGCGATGCGATATCGTCAGAGTCTTCCAGAGCGGCGAAGCACGTTGCACTGAATCATCAATGTAATATGTAGAAACTTTGAAAATTAATCAAATTCATTATCTGAATCATCTTTCTCCTCGTCATCCATGCCGACTGCAAAACAAGTCCCCTTCCACCCTTATTACTTTGTTTAATGAGTTCTTCACGCAACCAATTTCCTATACACTCAACCTTCTCAAGATTCTCACAAGTCATAGACTCACGATCCCACGAAAGAGTCCGACGTCCACCTGAAAAAACCGACTCCGCATCTGATGAATCCGGTGGAATAGAAAAAATATCGATAACCATTCGGCTTACTCTTGGATAAGCCTTGATTTGACCGGGTTTAGTCTACCAAGATTGGTAGCAATGTGAATCATCGAAATAGTTTTAGCAAGCTTTGCTTTCAACTGAGACCGATAGAGTTCGAAGTTTGACATTATCTGGCGCACAGCCTCATGGCGAGATGTAATAAGACGACCTTCAACAGCTGGATTTGCTGAAAGAACAAGAGCTTGAAGTTCGTCCCATTTCACTGCTGAAAATGGAAGGCGACGGCGAGTAAGAAGACCAACGATAGCCTCGGTGTATTGTTGACGACTGAACACTCATCGTAAAACATTATCTGTTGGTCGAATAGGGAACATACCGTTGATTCGGCGTTATTTCGGCGTTGTTTCGAGTTGTGTGTAGCTCCAGACTCATATTCAAAACTTATAGAATCTTCCAAACTCAAAGCATCGATAATATCCTGGTGTTTCCGCTTTGCATGGCTGATTGAGTTGTCTTTCTTGTTATTTGACCATCGAGCATCGGCAGGGCAGTGAAGGTATTCAGACTGGACTTTACCAGTTGTTTTACGTTTTCCTGAAGGCTTTGCTGTGTCGGAATCGGGATAGGTTGCTTTGAAAAATGCTTCAAAAGGAAATGATTCAAATGCGAGAGGAGTAAGTGTAGAAGAGGCTTCAGCTTGAGATGAATTAGCTAGAGGGATAGAAGGTTGAGACGATGAAGCCATGATGCATTATTACTACTCTATAATAAAATGTCAAAAAGGCCCGTGCTTTCTCCGCAAAAGTTACAAACCCTCAAATAACTTTTACACTGCGCTTTTGCAAAACAAATCCATCCGTAGCTTTGTAGAGCACGATGATGGCTTTTGCTGCAACTACTTTTTAAAATAATCGACCATAAATTGGTAGAGGAGTAGCATTTTGAAATTCTGGGTTTTCAGGCCCACTAGCCACACATTAGCCACATATCAGCCACTTATTAGTCATTCTAAGCACAACCCCTAACCATCAAATTCAACCGTAATAGAATTCAAACCACACATCCTACACTTCCCTTTTTGTTTGAAAATGCCACGCTCTAGCAAGCATTCAGATCAAATGCGTGCATTAGCTAATCGACGTTGGCCTCTGCAGGAAATTGAAGAGAATCAGCAGCAATATCCGCCGTGAGTGATCAACCCCAGGATAACACCCATCAGAGCTTTCTTCCCCTGACGTTA